AGAACCCTACAAATACCAAAGAAGAAAATCATACATGTCCCTCCGAAAAATCTGAAGCCATCGATTCTCCCTCAGTCTTCTTGCCCGCCATATTTTCCTTCAATTTGTTGCTCATGAGATGACGAAGGAGAAGATGATTTCTGATTTTCACATAAACTGAATTCTCGTAGGTAAATTTTTTTGAATTTTCTCAAGTTGTCGATTCTCCCTCAATTGCCCGCGAGAACTCTCGACACTACAAGAAATTTGATTTTTGTGACTAAAATATTCATCGTAAAAAATTCTATTTTTCTTCACTAAAAGTATATAGTGACGAAATGTCTATGTGACATTATTGTGATTTGTCATTAAGAAATTATTTTAATGACGTCTATTTCATCACTTTAAATATAAAAATTCGCCATTGAAATTCTTAAATCGTCACTAAAAGATCAAATTTAAATGACAAACTGATATTTTGTCATCTAAATATTAACCTATAGTGACGAAGTTGTCATTTTTACAGCCGAATTTTGTCACTTAATTATATCTTTATATGACAAATTTTAAATATCCGTCATTTAAACACTAATATATAATGACGAATTGTACTGGGGAAAAAATAACAAATTATTATTTTTATTTTTTAAAATTTATTTTAATTTATTACAATCCACCACTATACCCATGAAGGCTTAGTCCAGAAGCTTCCAAATAATCCATATTGACATTTTATAAATTCTGCATATGAGGGATTTGAACTTGTGACCTCTTACATCTCAAAATGGCTCTCACCACTAAGCTATTCCAATGTGTATGACATGGTTTTACAATTTTTAAATTTAATAACTATTGCATGTTAATTATATTCATTTTTTATTTATTAACACTATGTATGTCATATATATATATATATATATATAAATAACTAAATATGATAAAATTATATTTTAAATTTATCAAAAGTACATTTTATACTTATAATTTTTGAAAATTTTCTCCTTACTTAAATCTAATCAGTCGAATATACATGGTCATTGTATATAATTTATTATAAAAACGGTGGCTACAAAATATAGATATATTTATATCAATAATAAATGTATGATTGAATATATTACACTCAATATCGATAATACAGAATGACATTTTATAAGTTCATTTTTATTTGTCATAAATAAGGTATTTCGATAATAAAAATAACATTTATAGTTTATATTATTAGATTATGACAAAATCCTTATAAAATATGTAACCTTTAGATGAAAATTAACATACGATAAATAAGACAAATTAAAATTAAAAATAAAACTTATCATGGTTAAATACCAAATTATGAAAAATTATCATATAATTCGCGCAATAATTTTTCTCACGTTTTCTTCAGATTTTGGCACGGTTGTGCTGGATCACGCTGTTATGGCGACTTTCTACCTCCACACAGTGGGTGAGAAAGTATTCACGCCATGTCAAAAAATTATGGGTCAAGATGACACTGAGCATTGGAAAGAAAAAAAAAATAAAGAAGGTGTTTGAAATACATGTAGCACATATTTTTTGACTCAACAGTCCCGCACTGAACATGAGCTCGATTTAAATAAAATGGGCAGGCTAAAATAATTAGACTCGCTCGATAAATGATTGGGTCGAGCAGATTAAATATTCAGGGTTCGCCTGACTTAAATAAAATTCCGATTATTTCGAGGCTCGGGTTTACTTTTAAAAATAAAATAAAACTGATTTTTGGGCTAAATAAATTTGATTTTTAAAATTAAGAATCGAATAAATATTCTACCACTTCGACTTAATAATAATTACTCAATTTAATGCAAATAGTAACAATTAAATGTATCAAATAAAGAAATTTACTATTTATCAAAATAAAATCGAACCCTATAAATAATAAAAATATTCGAGGCATTACAAATGTGACCGGTAAAAGGAATCGGCTCCTAGGACAAGAGAGAGGGGCTGTCATAGTCTAGAGAATCATAAACTCATACGCCCACAGTTTTTCAAGAGTGCATGATTCTGGTTAGTTGTGTCCATTTATTTTATCCGCGACAAATCAATTTAATTCAGATATGGATGGATAAGGCAAGTGGAAACATGCCTACCTACAATAAAAAATATCTGACTGCCCCAAGCACGACAATTTATTAGCTATTACTCTAAAATAAATAATTGCAATGTCTAATACCTAAGGCTGCAAAGTTTGAGCAGCTCGCGAGCCGCTCGCGAGCGCTCGAGTCAAAGCTCGACTCGAGCTCGAGTTTAACCGATCTTGAGTCGAGCTCGAGCAGCTCGAGCACGAACTCGAGTCGAGCTCGAGCCCATATATTGCATTGTCGAGCGGCTCGCGAGCGGATCGAGATATGTGAAATTACCAAAATACCCTTGTATATATATGTAATTAATGGTTATTTTACAAAATTTCTTGAAAAAATTCGAGCCGAGCTCGAGCATTATGAATTCAAATCGAGCTCGAGTCGAGCTCGAGCTCTTGTATGTTTTGATCGAGTCGAGCTCGAGCACCAAAAATCGAGCTCGACGAGCTCGAGCTCGAGCACGAGCACCTCAAAAAAATAAAATTCAATCCGCTAGATAAGGCCAATGCTCGACTCGGCTCGGCTCGTTTGCAGCCCTACTAATACCTACTCCCATCACTTTTAAAGGAAATATTTATTAGTATTTTATAATTTAGATTAACAAATGAAATGGATAATATTATTCTAGTTCTCTTCCAATTCTTTCTCTCTCCCACCACAATGTTCTATTTCCTTATACATCTTTGAAAATTCATACCTGGTTCACATCTCACTGGTCTAACCGAAAATTCATTCTTAAACTCATTTTATAGTAATTATCACATCAAAAATTTAAATATTTTTCAACTGAAAAACTCAATCTCTAACTCCAAAATTATTCTTAGAATCTTCTCTTTCACCTTATAATTTGTATAATTCTTCAATGTTACACATATATTTACTAAGTTTACAATATTAAACATAAAAATAGTACAAGTATCATGTAATAATATACTTTGTGTCATTTTTTAATTTTTATTTTATATTTCTAATGTTTCAAAATTTTATAAAATTTTATCTTTCTTATTTTTACATAAAAAAAATATTTTACAAAGATACTATAATTTCAATTTATTATTATTTTTTAAATAATATTCTCTTAGTAATTTTGTAATTTTTAAATGTTATTATTTTATTAATTTTTAATTTCTTCAAGGCAACCCATAAGTACTATGCATGTTTACAACATATTATATATATATAATATAAATATATAAGAAGTGAAAAAAGCTAACAAAAAAGTGACAAGATGAAGGGTCAGGTCCGACACTCGGGTATTACCCTGTTGGGGTCTTTTCAGTTATTTTAGTTATTTTTGTTGGTTTAGTTGGTCGAGTAGTTGGTCCTTTTAGTTGCGAGTTTTATTCTAGCGTTGCTAGCGGGATTCTATGCGGTCTTCTGACATGTCCTCCCATTTTATTCTCCCGTTGGGAGCTTTGTATCTTGATTCGCACTTTTGTGCGCTTTTGATTTATAATAGTTCCTCTATCGTTCCGGAAAAAAAGAAAAAAAAAGAAGGGTCAGGCTAATAGTTAGGAAAATAAATGCAATTTGCTACACGACAAACGCATACATACATTTTGATGAGAAAAGGTTACAATCCCGTCATAGGATAATGTATATGCCTTTGGTGTATGTTTGGAGAAGATCTCATATTTCATTTCATAGGATAATGTATATGCCTTTGGTGTATGTTTGGAGAAGATCTCATATTTCATGATCTTTCTGATTATTAATGTAATGTATAATAATGAAAGATATAGCATTGGAATAATCATAAGGATAAAAGTTCAAAAGATATCAAAGTGAAGCGAACATTCTTATTTAGTGATGAAAAAGTACACCAAGACACTAAAAAAGTTCCAAATTACAACAAAACACTCACCATTACAAGCCATAGCTACTTATTAATAAAAAACTTTAGCGCATTTCAGACTTATATCGAACACCCTCTGCGTTAAAAGGTGCGCGCACTCCCAAACTCGATCTTCAACACTTGTCATCATCGTCACATGCTAGATCTCGAGTCCCCGGCCATGACATTACCAACAAGACTGCGAATGCTAATCCTGCTGCGCATGGCGCGCGTGTTGGCATCTATGAGTGGCGTGCAGTTGAGGGTAATGAGTGCCGGCCTCACCAACATGTCCTCAAAGTCCCAGTGAGTCTGCTGCGTGAAATGCATCCCGTCCCAATATATATAGTCGTTCGGGTTTTTGCAAACCGGGACTCCTTTATCTCCACAGAATCTCTTGCTATCGAAATTGTATTTCCCTCCAATCCCACAGCACGATTTCAACGCACTGTTTCCGTTAGGACCTGTTGCATTCCAATGAGTTGTTTATACTGTTAATTGGTCAAAAATTTTCAATTAGCTCTCACTAAATAATAATTAGTAAAGAGATGGAACTTTGCCTATGACTGATGAGTTGGCAATAATTGTTCGGATGCCATCATACAGGCCGCCGTAGAGTATCAACACGTTCGGAAATTCGCGTCGGAGATCTTCCATGGCGCTTAGGAGATAGTCGTTTTTATAAACTGCGAGCTCGTTCACGCTTTTCAAACAACCCAGCTCGTCGTATGCAGTCGGGTCCTTTGTTTGTAGAGCGGTCAAAATGAAAGGGTAGCATCCGAGAGGTCCATTTCCAGGAATAATCACTCGCCTCGCACCTAACCTGATGGTCTCCTGTTTGGTGTGTTGGATAAGGGAAACTAGCCGTTACTATTGAAATTAATAATAAAGATCCAAAAAAATTCATTACTTGCCTATTATATAGAAACAAAAAGGAACCAATTAAGGTCAATTTTTTTTTTTTTTTCTTAAAAAAGTCACAAATTCGATTATTTTCTTATGGAGTGTCCAAAGTGCAACGTGTATTTATTGTATAAGGGGTGTAGATACAGTAATTTGTGAATAAATGTTGATAATTCCATAAGTCGTGCTATCCATTGGCTCTATAGTAAAATTACAAAAAAATACATTAAAAATAAGGATTTGTGCTGGTGTAAATATTATACCCATAATATATAATTTTTTTTTAATAAATGTTACATATTTATTAACTAAGATATTATACTCTATTTAATCCTATTTTTTATGGTATTTAATTAAGAAAATAATTAGTAGATTTGTTAAAAAAAGTTGGGTTGATGAAAAAAAAATAATATATACATATATAATATATTATAGTCTTATCCAACTAATAAAGTGCTCCTCAAAGTAGATTGAAGACAAATTATTAGTTATTGAGAAAAGTCCAATGGGTATTATTACTATTACACACTTGTAATTTTAAATGATGCAAGTGGGTTGGTAAGAATTGACTACACTATAAGGGTATTTTTGTAAATATAAATACTATATATATAGTGCTTCCTTTAGATAAGAGTGGCTTAAAATTCAAACATATCCTACTAAACAAATGATGAATAATTGACAATTTAGTTTGTATTGAATTATTATTACCCTTGTCGCATCAATTTGAGCCTTTATAATAGCCGGCACATATGACCGAGCTTCCTTGATAGTCTTCCCTTGAGTCAACGCATACGTAATGTCATTGCCTTCAATGTCTCCCATCAATACCAGAGAACTCCCAATCCATTCCGAGCATTCTAATAATCACAACGAACTAGTAAGTTAGTTTATAGTTTATCACTAATTTTCGAAATTATAGCTTATAGCTGATAATTTATAGTAGTTGAAAAGTTGACCTATATGATAGAAGTGTTTGGTAAAATTTAGTTGATAAGTTAACTGAAATAAAAATTTCAGCAAGCTTATTTGAAAAAAACTCGTTATATCAGACGAAGCTTATAAGCTAACCAAATAAGTTATTCTAACAAGCGTGGCCTAAAATTATCATACGGCAAGATTCACAATGAATTGGGTCGGGTTGGATAATTTTGGGTCCGGCTGAGATTCATGAATTTCAGCCCGACTCTTGAGCCAATACTTGAATGGATATATGTAAAATTTGAATGTAACAAGGAACAAGTGTGTTTAATTAATTACCGGATCGCGAGTCACAAATGGTTTTAAGATGTCTCTTAAACCAGCGCATTTGTGTGCTAAGGGGAACCGCGTAAGGTGGGACGACAATGTTGCGTTTTTTGAAGAAGCTGAAGTCCAGCACTGGGCTCCGAGCCGTCGAGAATATGACACCGTGATAATCGGCCGCCCTCGAGTGGTTCATGTTCAAGTAAGGTACGATTTCAGGCAGCCCAAAATCCTCAGCTGCAGATTAATTAATAATAACATATTCATTAAATCAATCAATGTAATAATAATAATAATAATAATAATAATAATAATAATAATAATAATATAGTGATTCTAGTTAGCTAGTTTTACTAGTTCATTCTAAGAACTTTACCATTAGATTATCATGTATAACTGTCATGAATAATTAATTTAACAATAATATTCTAGTATTGATTCAAAATATTTAGATTCATTAGGCCAAGTTATAATAGGTTAAAAATAAAAGATGGGGACACGTACGTCGTCTCTATGTGTAACGGCCTTCCCTAGATAAAGATAACAATAACCAAAACTACTTGCCATATTTAACTAGACTACAAATTTGTGCACTACATATATAAATAAAAATTTGTCATACCCGTGTAGTCGAAATCGACACGGCCGTCCGACCAACGGCCGGTAGGATAACCGGGATAAGTCATGCCGTACGGCTTTCGTCCGGCCGGATTTGGAACTTTGGGGACAACGTAAATGGAGTTGCCGTTGTCCGTGACTCCATCCCCAAAGTGGTACAAGTACTCGAAAGGGCAGCTTGGGCCTTGGGATAAGGCCGGGCCGAGTTGAAGGGCCAAGAAAACGCAAACGATATTGAACATGGACGAAGCTAGGCCACCCACTTGGACCTTCATGCTTGCTAAATTTAGAGAAGATATGAAGAAAGGGAGCTAAGAGAGCTTGTGTTGGGTGCACAAATGTAGTGCACTATTTAAAGCCATCAAGGCAATTAATGGGGGGCATATGAGGCGGCCAGTTTTCAAAGGGACACAGGTCAATTATGTCATTCTCATATAACATTATCTTGGTTTTGCTTTCATTATATATTATGGACATCACGTGCTACCCGTTTGAAAATTGAAGTAGTTAGGTTTGATTATCCAGTCAGATATTTATTTATAAGATGTAACTACATTTAGAGCATGGTATCGAAATAAATAGTACCGTGGATGCCCATGCCCCAAGCATTGACTAATTTAACGTCTAACGTTTCTGAGTAATGATATAGGTACATAATATTGTACATAAAAAGTGTACATAACACTCACATTGAGTGAGATCCATCAAAAATAAAAAATCAAGTGGACTCAACTCTATGTGAGTGTTATGTACATATCTATGTACATTTACTATGTACTTGTAGCATTTTTTCCTTCTTATAGTTATTCGACTGACAAAAGATGGCTTTTTTTTTTGTTTTTTTAAAGCAAACATAAAATTTTCCATAAACGAAACTCAAAATGTAAAAATGCATAAATGACGGGTTACAAGTCACACGTTATCTTGACTAACAAAGCCCCATACACAACCAAATAAGCAAAGACTAAACTGAAAATACACAAAGGAAAAGCAAACAATCATCAGAAAAAACAACACAATCCCCAACTCTACACACATGAAAGAACATCAACAACAGAAAATACAATATAGCAACAAGGAGATGTCTTTTTCCACCACCGAGGCTCCTAAGTGAATTGCGATCTTTGAATCTTTGTATGAGCTGATAATCTTCCACATGGATCTCCACCTTTTGCCACCCTGAGTCTTTTCCTGATAACAGTCATTCTCTTATGCTAAGAGCTCATCCTCTCCAGTCTGCTCCTACTGATGCTTTGGAACAGTCCACCTCTGAACTAAAGTATTGTTCTTCCATGCCAATCCCCTCAGAAAGACATCCTCTACAGTAGCTACATTAGCACTGAGCCCAGTGCCTTGAGCCCCTACTCTTTGTAACTTCTCAGACACCTCACTCTTTGGACTATTAGCATCCTCAAACTCCAGTCATTCTCGTTGAGCTCTTTCTACTACCTACATCTTTGAAACCCATTCTTTATTAAAGATCCACCCGTTTTTTGTCTTCCAGAATCCACAACAACCACATTACATAAGTAGACAAAGATATTGTATCCTTCCCACTCCCCTCCATATTAATGTGACATATTTCTTTCCACCACTCTTTGAAATCCACTTTCTTTGAAACTTGACCCAAGATAACCCAAATAATTTTCACACTTTCCTAGATCTATCACAGTTGAACAACATATGCCCAGATTTTTTTATCCTTAACACCCCCCCCCCC